TGTCTCCTTCCCCTCCTCCCAAATGATCATGTCAGATGGCTGGCCCTCCTTTAACTTGGTTTCACTGGAGGTTTCTTATTGTTAAAAGGGAGCTTTTCTTTCTCACGGTCACCAAGTGTTGAGGTTTCTTTCTAATATTGAAAAGTCACTAAAATATAAAGTACCTTGGACTAATTTTTGTTACTGTTATTGTATTTAATAAGTGGTATATTCAAGAAAGTTACATTTTAATCATTGAGTGCTAAAATTAAGACTATGTGTCTTACAAATTCATAATTTAGTGGAGATAAGAACCACAGTGAAAACGTACAAAGCACAAAATAATCTTGATCCAAACTGGATTCAGATGTTGTGTGAAAATAGAAAGACAACGTGTGAATTCAGAGGGAAAGGTAAATAATAAAAAATATTTAAAAAACAAAAGATGTATATCTGTTAGAGGGGTAAGCGTGTAGAGTAACTGTAATAAGGACCTAGTATTGTGTTATTTACAACGTAATTATATATTTTTTAAGATAAAAGAGAGGTAATATTTAGTTTTGTCCTAGTTTATTTTTTATTCTTAATACTTAAGTGTCAAAATCTAGTTTTAAAAGTGTCGAGATTTAGAATATGCAGTACATAAAGGTTCATATTTCACCTTTTCGGCCACTTGTGCCATTTATTTATTCGTTTAGATCAAGAAATGCTAATAATGACCCAAATTAAAATATATTTTTCAATTTATTTTATAGCACAGCGGTCTGGGTTTTTTTATTTTGAAATTCATGTCAGGAAACGCGTCACTTCAGCTACGGCTGACTTGACAGGGTGGAACTAATGCTATGCTAGCAGGCTAAAGCTAGCCAATCTGCGACCTTACTTTTTCCTCAATAAACTCCGCATCTGCCAACAGCACACGATTAAAACGCAACGACGAAGCTCGCAGCAGCTCACTTGCAAAGAAAACCGAGTAACTTACCATTGTTGTGGAGTTAAAAAAATCCCCCCGAACCGCAACCGCCGGTCCGAAAGGGAAGGAACCCTTCAAGGGTTTTTCCGTTTTTTTCCACCTCACATCATCTTGTGACTGGTTTGACCAATCCCATACAGGCGCCCCCTCCTTCAAAAGTTTCCTGTAAATCTGTGCTCAGTCTAATTTAGAGTTAAATTTGAGTTTGAAATCCAGCGTCTTACGTTAAACCGACTCATACTCGTTACTATTTAATAACAGTTGATACTTCTGCTTATTGATTCCCACCTAGGAGATACAATACTGCTGGGACATCAATAATGTTTCAGTGTAGTTAACTCAATATGACCTCAACTGAGAAATGATTACTTATGCTTTTACTTGGAATGTATGATTAGAACCTTCAGAGTATTTCACTAAATTAATTTGGTAATTATTTTAAACAAAGTGAGATTACTTATTTTAAAAAATGATGTTAAGACATGACAAACAATGTTTGGAGGAATAAAAGTGAGGCTTTCAAACTAACTAAAAGGAGAAGTGTTCTGTAGTTATATAGAGGGTGGTAGGAAATATTTCCTTTTCAGTAGCTCAGCAAGTCTGATACTCTGATTTAAAGGATTACCACCAAATAAATAAAATAACACTCTGCATTAAACTGTGTAAGTCTGTGGCCACACTTCAGAACAATATTCATCATATAAAAACCATTTCCTTTTATGTCTACAGACTCAGTCTCTTCAGAGTATAATATTATTAATCAAAGTATAATAATAAACTATTGTTAATTTATTATATTTTAATGTTATGTAGAATATTTGTAATTATTTTTAATCAAAGCTGAGTACCAGATTCCACACAGTTTCCGCTAAAGCATAACATCAATTTTTTAATGCTAACATTGAGTTGTTTTGCGTTGTGCGCACATATACTAGAGATCCCGGTAGAGCAATTGAGACCCGATTTCAAAATAAAAGTGATCTCTAGGTTAACCAGCACATTTACATGAGTCCATTATGAATCATATAATCATGAAATAAATAACAATGGAGAAATAAAAATTATTTAAAAAACTGTGATATTACAAATAACAGAAATATTTGAATATTACAGATAGTAACTATAATCACATTCAAAGAGACGTGTACAGCCATTACAAGTAAACCCACTGTCCAACAGACTAATTTTAAAATTAAAAACCAGACTGACGTCTTCTGTGAAAACAGAAAACAGTAATTTTGATTGACAGTAAAATTGATATTTTGTAATATTTGCATTTGTTTTTATGATTTTTATATGATTGATAACGTGTTGGTTAATGTTAAAATCACGTTCGCCTTAAGATTGCTTTTGTTTTGAAATCGGGTGTCAGTTTCTCTTGCCGTAGAACTTAGTATATACACACAACGCAAAACAATTTGTGTGCTGGTTTGTGCTCGAAAGCGACCATTTCTTACCGTAATTCCTAGAATACATACACATAACACAACTGACGACATTTGTCCCCTAACCTTTAGACTAGTTTTCTTCTGGCTCTTACTGTGTCTTCCCCAGCTTTAGAAGGCAAACCTGACACACCTTAACAGGCTGACACGGAGTTTTAAAGTTCGGTCTGCAATCGTGTTTAGTTAGGGTTAGTTTATTGGTTTGTTTTAGGTATATGTGGTCGTGATGTTGAGGGGTTAGGGAGTAAACTGTACCAGCGAGAGCTCTTACAAAGATAGAAGGCGACCGGCTGTCTGTGTGTTTTCCAGCTTGAACGCGCCCACCCTTCACAATACGTCATCAGTGAAGCGCGTGTGCGTGCCTCCTTTTCAAGAGTTGTAGTTGTGAAAGCAGATAAATCGTTAGCTTCTACTTGTGTACCTCGGCAGGCTAAGTTAGCGAGCTAACTGGTTCCCACAGCTGAAGAAATCCTCGCTGCTACCCGCCGTCTTTCTTTGGAGAGGAGTCCATCTTCTAGCGAGGTAGCATCAAAATCTAGCTTTCAGCAGTTTTTTTCCTCAGGCACCATGAAGCTAAAAATAAACAAACGAGCCAGCGTTAACTAACAGTTAGCTGCTGCCAGCTAGCTCGCTAGCCAACTCTAATTTAATTTATGACAGTTTTTGTGACTCTCTGCCCTGATTTGTAGCCTGGAGTCAGTGTAACATCTGTATGTCTTGTCTTAGTAATCTTTCATTGAGGTGGAGTTTTGTCAGAAAGGTTTTTGAGGATGGAAATATTGAGTGTGTTGTTACTCAGAGCCTTTGTGTGCCACCACTGTTTGACAACTTGTTATTGTCAGTTGTTATAACTACCTAATAAAGCGTGTGTCTCTTGTTTTGTTGTAGATCATGGATGATTTCTCGGTGAGTTCAAACAAATGCACATTTTATTTTTATTATGTTCAATTAGCTTACGGTTTATTGTACAAGTCACTTTCTTTTACTCTTCTTTATAGCTAGCAGATGCCTTAGGAGATGATACTACAAGCCAGGCTAAGAAAATAGGCAACAACAACCCATCTGCCCCCACTAGCAATCCTGCACCTCCTTCAAACCCAGGATGGCCTAGTTCAGCTCCTGGAGCCCCCACCCAGCCCTCTGCTCCGCTCGACTACCACGGTGGATCATCTGGCCCAGGGGCACCAGGGCAGTTTCCCTTCCCTTCAGGTCCTGGAGCACCAGGGCAATACCCTGGACCTCCTTCAGCACCTGGTGGGTTCCCCCCTGGTCCTGGGATACCTGGACAATATCCACCTGCACCAGGAGCTCCAGGTCAGTTTCCCTCCGGCCCTGGAGCTCCTGGGCAGTACCCTGGGCAGTATCCACCAGAAGGAGCTCCAGGACAGATACCTGGAGGCGCTGCTCCTTACCCAATGGGACCATTTCCTTCGGGCCCCGGAGCTCCCCCTGGCCCTTATCCAAGTGTGCCTTTCCCAGGTGGCCAGCCAGGAGGCAATGGCATGTATGGGCCAGGTGGTCCAGGTGCATTCCCACCTGCAGCTGGACCTGGTGCTTTCCCTGCATTCCCCAGCGGAGGCTTTCCCCCGATACCACCCGGTTCTTGGGGACCACCAGCAGGTGGAGGCTTCCCAGCTGCCCCTGGTCCCTTTGGCCCTGGTCCAGGGCCTATGGGTCCATATGGCGGGCCTGCTGCCCCAGGAGGGACACTGGTGAGTACTGGTACTTTAATGCAATATTGCTTACTGCATTTTCCTGCTTGTGTCCTTCTCTGGTGTGCAGTGGAGCATCTGGTGTGAAATTCTTTTAGAGTAACATAATCCTGTAAGTGGTGGATGGAGGAAGTTAGTCTTATTTCTTTGCTGCTGAAGGAGGGTTAATGTATTTATTTATGTTTTTCAAGAACGGCGGAATTGGGATGATTATTTCTGTCTCTTTGGCTCAGCTGGGGTGCTAAACAAATATAAAACAGAATAATACAGTATTCAGAAGTAGTTCTGAAAAATGTATTCTTGTCTTTCAGCCCAGATATAGGCCACCGTATTAAGCAATGAGCAATGAACTCAGCTTTTCAGTTGGACAAGGACATCACTTCCAGAATCAACATATGGTTTGATTAGTGCCAAAGACTCAATATATACATAATATTCAACTAAATTGCTCAATGTATTGTCTTAATTAAGTGCAATATGATATAATTTACACTTTTACTTGACCCATGTTTACGGCATCATGACGCCTTTTATGATCTCTAATAAAATTATGATTTGATCAAAACGCACTTGTAAGTTGTTTGCATGATAATAATAAATGGGGTTTTTTTTTTGTTTTCTTTTACTTTGCTCAGCTGTTGTAAAAATATAGTGAATGTACTTTTCTGTCATTGCCATGACCCGTCACTGCTACTTGTGTAATAGTGCTGGAATAACCGAAGGACATAATGACTCACTTGGGTGTTGCTGTAGGAATGTGGGCAGGGTCAAAGTTTTGAACAGTGCTTAAATAAAATTCTCTATTATAAGTCATTAGGCATGCTGCTGTGTTTTGCCAATTTAAGACTCAGTGATCAAATGTTTTATATGTGCATATTTTTCTTGGAAATCATTGAATTGCATTGTGACACATAAACTTAATATCTACACTGAGAACAGTACATATATTGTCATGGTTTAAAATGGAAGTATTTCTTGCAGATGGTGCCCTACGATCTCCCTCTTCATGCTGGAATATTGCCGCGACTTTTAATCACAATAATAGGGGAGCCTCTTCCCTGTGCAGACAGGTACAGTAATCATCCAACATCTGTGCCTGCTAATAGCAATCCAAAACCTGATGCCTTCAACTCATACTTACATAATAAAGGGGACCTAGTATACTTATTTTCAGCTCCAAATGTTTATTCTTGGATGCTTCTAGAGTAGAATAGTTCAAAACAATCCTTATTTGTCATGTACTGAGCCTTGGTATAGGATAAATCTTAACACCTTAAGCTTCTGATTGGCTACCCCTGTTTGAACAGCAGGTTGGTGAGGCGTCTGTACCTTTATATGACCATGTTATATCAAGAGAAGTGTAATAGGTCTCCTTTAAAACACATCTATGATTTGCACTGTGGGAATACTCTTTAAAATGTTTACCACCATATTATGTTAAACCGATTAGCAGCAGCATTTCTTTCTGCTAATGCTTTGCTTATATGTTTTTTTTTTTGCAGGTTCAATGTTGACTTTATCAAAGGTCCAGACATAGTCTTTCACTTCAACCCTCGTTTTAACGAGCAAACAATTGTTAGAAACTCCAACTTGGGCGGATACTGGGGACCTGAAGAGCGGGAAGGAGGGTTTCCATTTGTTCAGGGACAGCGTTTTGAGGTAAGTTAGTATAAAATCTTTTTCTTTTCTTTCTTTTTAAAATTAGCTGATTAGATTAGGGAGATGACATTTAGCAGAGCCCCTGAATTTAACCAAGGATTTTGTTCAGCTTACACCAGTAGAATTTTTCCTTCATGTCAGTGTGATATGGGCATAAATGAGCATGTTTATGCACATTTTTATGTGGTAGAGCTCTGACTTCGGTGCAGAAGGTGAGGCTTTAGGTGTG